GGAGGCCATCGCTCTTAGGTTGGAGGCCATCGCTCTTAGGTTGGAGGACATCGCTCTTGGGTTGGAGGCCATCGCTCTCAGGTTGGAGGCCATCGCTCTTTGGTTGGAGGCCATCGCTCTTAGGTTGGAGGCCATCGCTCTTAGGTTGGAGTCATATCTATTAGGGTGGAGGCCAGCACTCTTAGGTTGGCGACCATCGCACTTAGGTTGGAGGCCTTCGCTCGTAGGTTGGAGGGCATCGCTATTGGGGTGGGCCATCGCTATTGGGGTGGAGGCCATCGCTCTTAGGTTGGAGGCCATCGCTATTAGGAGGCCATCGCTCTTAGGTTGGAGGCCATCGCTCTTATAGGTTGCCCGTCGACAGTGTTTTCAATCGTTTATCGAACCTGGTCACATTAAGCTCGGGAGACGCTTTCGTACTTAAGCCAGTTCGTACCAGATCAAATCACGGGGAACGTCCCAGGCGAATCATGCACTGACCTATGGCTGAGCATTCAGATCCACCTGGACGAAGCTCATCTGGACAGCACGCCCTTAGCAGGAGTAGTTGCTGACCTTGTTAAAGCCTTCCACCTCTTGCCCCGCATCCCTTTGCTCGCAATCGGCCACCACCTAGGACTGCCTAAGCCCATCATCCGCGCGTGGGCCAACGCCCTGAGCCAATTGACTCGAGCATTTAGCGTGAGAGGGACTATCGGCCCAAAGCTTTCCTCAGCCACCGGCTTTGCTGAGGGTTGTGGCTGCGCTGCCATGCTCTTGTGTAATATCACATTGACTAGATGGCTTCGCCTTCGCCACCCCTCGGTCAAGTTATGGTCATATGTCGACAACCTCGAACTCACAGCTCCCTCAATTGAGGACGCTGAACGTGGGCTGTGCTTGATGGCCCGATTCTGTGACCTGCTAGATTTGCATGCAGCTAGACCAGGCCAAGACCTATTATTGGTCCACTGCAACCACTGAACGAGCCATCGCTAGAGATGCCGACCTTCCGCTCCAGTCGTCGGCCCGGGACCTGGGCGCTCACATGGAGGATGGTCGACGCACCGCAAACCATGTCTTGCGTAAGCGAATAGCAGCCATGCCCAAGGTCTGGATAGCATTGGCCAAATCCCCGTACAGACAAAAGGTGTATGCACTCCGAGTAAAAGGATGGCCCCAAACGTTGAACGGTGGAACGGCTGCCAGCCTCGGATGTGCGCACCTTAAAGCACTCCGTACCGGAGCCTGTGGAGGGTTGCGGGTCCATGCTCCGGGCATTAGCCCGATGGTTCATTTGTCGCTGGTTGTGCATCCTTTGTCCGACCCTGAATGCCATTTGCTCGTCGTGCGGACAGTCCATACCTTTCGTAGGCACGCCGATCTCGATAAAGTAGGAATGATAATTGACAATATCCTGCACAACTGGGCAGACATGGTCCACCGCCCTGGCCCCTGCCATGTGTTGCTAGAACGCCTGCATGCGATTGGGTGGCAGTGGGATGGGCACGGATGGATGACCGACGATGCACAGATGCCCGTCGACCTATTCCATGGGTCGTCCACGGAGATTCAACAGCGCCTGTGTGAAGGGTGGCAGTTGTTAGTCCAGCGTAGAGCATGCGCGCGGAAAACCTTCCAAAGGCTTGAGTGGGCCCATCCGGCATTCACCATGGAAAAAGCCAGGCATCTGCTACAAGATAAGTTAGGTCTCCTGCGAAAAGTGCTTAATGGGACATTCTTTACCGCAGACTCCCAGCTGCAGAATAAGAAAACCCATACCCTCACATGCAAATTTTGCGGGCTGTCTGACTCGCAATACCATCGCTTTTGGGAATGCTCACACTTCGATAGCTCCAGGGCATATCCATGGCTCGTGCGCAAAATCTTGGAAGGGGGGCTGCGGAAATGTCTCACATATCATGGTTGGATTGGCCTCCCATCAGAAGTCCAGGACTTGCATAAGGCCTTGTTTGCACAGCCTGACCTTACGGATCAGTTCGAATGTCTACCCTTCAAGCCAACCGACCTCTTTGTAGATGGATCGTGCGCAAATCCCACCTGTGCATATACTAGGATTGCTGGTTGGGGCGTTGTGGCCGCCGATCCCCATGACACTGACCAATGGCGCCCTCTTGCTCAGGGAACTCTGCCAGGATGGTATCAGTGCACTCCGATATGCCCTCCGACATGGACATGCAAGTAGAATTTGGAGTGACAATGCACTTGTTGTTGACACCCTCCGAGTAGCCTTGCACGACCCGGATCGATGTCAACCGCATCGCAAAGACTCTGACTTGTGGACTGCCCTCTTGGCGTTAGCTCGGTCTGTCCCTCCTGACCTTGTTACGGTGCACAAAATTGCGAGCCATCAGAACAAGCTTGGGGCAGATTTCGTCGAGTGCTGGGCATACACCGGCAATGACAATGCCGACCATTGTGCACAGTGTGTTTCAGCTGTGGCACAAAGCCGTTACTGCCATTGAAGCCGCGAGGAACCTTCGCACCCAAATCCATCAAACCATTCTTCAGGTTAGTGGAGATGCAGTGATGCGTGAAGCAAGAACGGTGCCGATCGACACCCCAGCGGTGCCATATCCCTTGCCACTCACTGAGGCCACGATTGCGCCCCTACCTGCTTACCCACAACTGGCCACGTCGAAGTTGGTAGGATCTGCTTGGCCGCAGATCTCCGAATGGTCACGCAGCTTGATAGATCCAACAGCTGAGGTCCGCTTTCTGCCGTGGCTATACATCTACCTTGACTTTGTTTTGCATACCAATGTTGGGGGTGTTAAGCCTTCCAATAAATATAAGCTCTGGAGCTGGTTTGGGCGCGAGGAAGCCAACACATTT